GCAGAGATGGGCATGAGAAGGAAACAAGCGAGGCTAAAGGCACCAGGGACACCATCAGGATAGAAATACAGTGGAGCCCCGCATAGCGAGGTTAATCCATTCCGGATTAACCTTCGCTATGATGAAACATTGCTAAACGGGACGGAAAAAGCCATTGGAACGCATTAAACTTAGTTTAATGCGTTCCAATGGCTTCTTTACTCACCGTTATGCAATGTTTCCTCATTGTGACGCCATTTTCGTGCCCTCGGTAAGTGAGGGCAGGGCACGAAAATGGTTGCGGCGGCCATTTTGGGTTGTGCGGCGGCCATTTTAGAACCGCCGAACAGCTGATTGTCGGGCGTCGCAATGCGAAGATCGGTAAGCGAAACGCTTACCGGTCTTCGCAATGCGATTTTCGCCCATTGGGGCCATCGGTAAGCAATCGCATTAGCGATCCCAAAAAACGGATCGCTATGCGATTTCGTCGTTATACGGTGCACTCATTAAGCGAGGCACCACTGTATGAGGAGACGTGATCATAGGTTTGGACCATCATTAATTTAGGAGAAAAGGAAAGGGCTGCAGAGGTTGATTCACAAAATCAGGATGTAAAATTAGTGATGAAGGGATGAGGGAAAGAATTAAATTAAAGGAGATGAGAGAAATGATAAAATACACCAGGCAGAAGAGAAGTAGTCAAACAAATGCCAAGTGATGGTGAAAGGAAGGGACGCAGGGGAAAGACTGGAATCAATAGATCTAGAACAGTAGTTCCCAACCTTAGGGCTCCAGATGTTTTTGAACTACAACTCCCAGAAATCCTGGCCAGCACAGCTTTTGGGGGAAACCAAAAGGTTGCAAACCACTAATCGGAGATGATAAGGTGAACAATAATTTAAAAATAAGAGAACAGAGGGGAAAGAGAAGTTCAGAGAAGGCAAGAAAACAAAAACAGACTAGGAGCTGGAAAAAGGAGAGAGGCAAGAAGGAGCGTGAAAGGAATGAAATTATCGCATAAGAAAAAAGGTGAGAAGGAAAACATAAAAATCAAGGGAAATAGAAAGGAAGTAAGAGGAAGAGAGATCAGCCAAAGGCAAGGAGGTGGTGGGAGGATCTTCTCAGAACACACAAGATTTCCCAGCTAGATATAAATCTTTTCCTCACACCGCTCTGACCTGCTCTTTCTTCCACAGACACTCACCCTCCGAGAAGCGCAGCCTGTCCCGCTCCAGCTCCCACAGTCGGATCTGGTCTGTGATTGTGGGCGGCAACACCGGAGTCTGTCGGGGAGAAGAACCATGAAGATGTAACAGGCACAGGGCAAAAGAGATCCCCTCTCAAAATACATCCGGCGGAGTGCAATTCAGTCTATAAAAAACTTACACCATAACGATTTGCTAATTTTTGAAACACTGCAAAACACTTCCTTTACTTTTGATGCAGCAGAGTAAAGCTCGTTTCAGGCAACGGCAAAGCTTGTGTGTGTTGGTGGGTCCTCAATACAGTTAAATGTTGTTTCTTCCCCTCAAAGATTTGTGAGCGCCACTGGTCCCCACCCCCCATGGTGGTGTTGGCAGTGGCTGGGTCTCCTGACAATAATTCATTGAGCTTGGGAGAATAACCAAGAACACAGAACTTATTGAAATGGAAGACCAACAGAAACAGGAACACTGTCCTTAACTCCCTGCAGGAGCTTTCTAAAAGGTTGAGTTCCTTGTACTAACCCTCCAAGAATGCCCTTTCAAGAGTTAAGGACACAGAGACCCGGTCTCACAAAGCAAGAGGGGAAGTCCTGGCGCTGGCTGAAGGTGCCCACTCCTCTGCCGCCTGTGATGGTGCCTGTAGCATTCAGCCCTGCCCTCACCTGTCCGTCACAGCTGAGCAGTGGAAAAGGAGCCAATGAGGGAACGGAAGGTGGCGCTAAAGGAGGAGGGGCTGGGATATAAATGGGGATGTATGGAGCATGAGGGGAGATTCGGGAGTCTGTGTGAGAATGAGCCAGAAAGTCAGTGAGAGTAGGGTTCTGTGTGTCAGTGTGTTCAGTGAGTGAGAGAAATTGATTAGCATCTTGTGATTTACCTATTATATATTATTGATCAAATAAACAAGTTTAAGTTTTAAAGCAACACGTGTCTCACTGAATAATTGGTACTGAATTGGTATTGGTGGCAGCAACTAAAGAAGACAATAGAGGCTTCAGCGCGCTCGCAACAGTGCCTTCCTCGTAAGCACTGTAGTGGGTCCTAGCGGGTGAAGGTGCTGCTGCTTCCATTGGACGATGTGGCCGCCAAGGTCACATTGAAGATACGGTAGTCTCCTGAACTCGTAGATCCTTCCTTTACTCAATGGGCCAGACTCAGGAATGTCAGCCCTGGGCTCCCCTTCCCAGGCAGCCATAGTGCAGGACTGGGAATCCCAATCCTCAATGGCCTTTCCTCCTTTGAGGTCTCCCCACCTCCCTCCATTTCCCTTGCCATCTCCCCTTTGTGGGTTGACTTCCTCAGCCAGCTCTTTTGCTGGCACCTGTTGTCCCTCTCCTTTGCCTACTAGGGGCCCGGCAGTGATGATCTCAGACAATTCACCTCACAAGATTCGAGTGTGAAGCTGGATGGCGCCCCCAAGTCCGTCCTTATTACTAAAGAGACAGAAATCCCATAAAAGGGGTAACTTTTGGAACAGAATCAGGGTAGACGAATATCAAGGATTTTTTAAAAATCCAACTGTCTTCAATCATGATTTCATTTTTAAAAATGTTTTTTTTAAAATTTAAATTGCCAAAAAATCTGATTTTTTAATTTAAATCATGACTTAAATCAGAATTTAAATCCATTTGGTTTTTTTAAAAGATCCTTGATTTTTATCCACCCCAATTCTGTTGCAAAAGTTACACAATTGGATTTAAATTAAATCCACCCTGAACATAATTGCTGTAAATTAAGAAACCCGCATACACATTATCCATTGCATTACCGAGTCCCATGACTCAGGATACGACAGATTATATGGGAATTTCTTAACTTGAGGCCATTCACCCCTACCAAAATTCAGTAGCACTGCAACAAAATTTCAGCCAAAAGTGTTAAAGATGGGGTTAATTTTTGAAAACAGCTTGGAAACATCAGTTAGTTTAAAATAAAGCTGTTAGTTTACTAACTGGGACAAATATCTTGTTCACAAGCCTTAGAAACATCCCTAACACTGTCAGCCAGGGAATATCCTTCTACATACACAGAGATTCCCCACTATCTCACCTGTTTCAGCATCACAGCGTGAGCTCGAGTACGTAAAAAGTGAATGATCTGTACAAAAAAGATAACAGTGAATAAATCAGACTTAGCCTCATCACAATTTTACTGCTACTGCTACAAATCCAATTTGTTATTCCCAGTGGCTCTCACTAGGCTAGGAAACACCCCCTTGGAAGCCTCTGGAAGAGAAAACTAACCAGCCCGGCAGACAAAAGCAAATCATATTTCTTTACATTTCTTTCAAACTGGATTATATAATCCAGGGTCTGGGTTTCAGTGACATTTCCCTGGTTCTCACCTGATCTGCTGTG